ACGAACCAATCCAAGGACAGCAGTGATGAATGTAAGTAGCCACCACTACACTTAAGTGCGTTTTCTTTACAGTGGTTATGTCACTACTATGTACACCTATGTTTCTCAAATGTGATTCTAGAACCTAAAATTAACCAATACTGTCCCAGATCAGTTTTTTAAAAAACTATTATTGTACAACATTGTGTATATGCAGGAAAGGATAAGTTTAGAAAAGGGATTCAGATAGTGGTAATAAGGAAATCACTACTTTTCCATTTATTTCTTTAAAGGCCCAGCTAAAAATGTGGCAGGACCATCTAGTGATGAGGGATAGTTGTGCTGAGTTCACCACAAATTTGAAATCTCAGCTGTAGCAGAGACTATAATTTAAAGGTTGGGCTGGGCTGTTATGTCTTGGAAGGCATGTCTTTAAACATATGAAACTCCATCTCAAAAATAGTTGTTTAATTCACAACATAATGTAAAAGGAACATAACAGGAAGTACTTCCTTATATTACAGAACAACGACATGTGTATATTCAGATGCTTGTGATTCAGGTTTTGGTAGAAGGAATCAGGTGCTACATTTCTGTTAGTTCCTTGAAATCATTTTCATATCTTTTTTTAAAAATAATTTTATTGATTTTATATACTACTTAATTACAAGGAGTGGGGAATCACTATAACTAAAAAAACGAAGCTACGAAGTTAAGGCAAGAATCATAATACAAGAGAAACATTCTTGAATGTCATTCTTACATTAAAGCAGTATTAAAATATAAGTACAATACTGTATATCTTATTTTCTTAACAAAATTAGCTTGAGCCGTTACAGCTAATATTTAGGTATTTTCTAGTCCTTACTAGTTTTATAAACTTCCATACTTATTTCTCACGTTTATTTTTCTTGTATTCAGGGGTCTTGTTGTAGAAAAAGAGCTGGCGGAGCTCATTAGCATAACTCATTAGCATAACTTATTTGCATATGCCACGCCCCCTGACATCACCGGAAGTGACAGAAGGCCACACCCCCTGACATCACCGGAAGTGTGTCAGAAGGCCCGGCTACTTACCCTCCTGCTTCATCCTCATTCCCAAACGGAATGAGGATCGAAGCAGAGGGCGGGGTAAAGAAGGGGGCGGGGCTTCACCATGTGACCGCCCCGCCCCCTAGAGGTTCTCTTCCGGAGCTCCGTACCTGAGAGCTCCCCCCCGACTAGAGCCCTGCTTGTATTTCAGTTTAACTTGAAGTACTCTGGGAGCAGCTACTACATTTTCTGAATCGGAACCCTCAGAGGTGCTACCAGAGCTACTTGAACTGTCCTCTGATTCGAGATCACTTTTAGTTTCTTCTTGAGTGTTGTCGTCTTTCTTTCCTTTGTCTTTCGTTGGGCTTTGTTTTTGTTCCAAAAAAGCTTTAGCTTTCTGTGCAGAGTCAATCTTCATCTTCTTATCATTGTGATTGAATACCAGTCCTTCTGGAAATATCTATCTGAAAGGAATGGATTTGTTATGTAGAAAGGAAGTTAATTCTTTATATTGATTCCTTCATTTCCGTATCTCAAATACAATGTCCTTTAAGCTTCTCGCTTCTTCGTCTTCAACCTTCAGAATTTTCCTAGATGTCGCTTTCAGAACTGCATCTCTGGTCGATCTTTTGGAGAATTTGACAAATATTTCACCAGGTAGATAATTTTTCTTTATAAAATCTGGATAAGTTTGATAAGCCAAGTCCTTATCATTTTGTAATAAATCCTGTTTAAGCTCTGTCACTGGTGCTAATGCTTCACTTAATAATTTTAAAAAGTTTTCTCCTTTCTGTTCTGGGATACCCTGGAAGCATAGGACATACATTCATCTTTCCATTTGAAGCTATAACAATTGCTCTTTGTCAGAAATTCATTCTTTTCCCACTGCCTCCAGCTTTTGTTTAATATCAACTGGTTTTGCATCAACTTTCTGAATAGCCTTGTCAGTATCATCTGCTCTTTTGTCAATTCCCATCAATTGCTTTTGGAAACCATCAAGTTTATTGTTGATTTTAGACATCTGATCCAGCAGAGGGTGCAACGCTGCTGCCAACATACTAGGGAGATCAGTGGCTGCTTCCGACATATGAATACGAGTTGCTGACTGGATAGTTCCTGCCGAGGGTTTCTTCTCCAGCACCATTTTTCTCCCTCTACCCGACTGTTTACACAAGATAACATTTGTTTAAGTCAGAGTGAAAGTTCTTCAATTTGAATGTCCTTTGGACTATTTTGTACCTTTTGATCTTACTTAAAGTCTTTCACAGTCAGTATCGTTTTTACCTTCAGGTTATCGCTTAAGAACCGCCGAGTTTCGTGGGGGGGGGGATCCCCAACTCCTCCCCACCCACTATTCTGTCCCATAGGTTAATTCTGTTCTCTTTGATGGCTCAGCAGCTTAAAGGGGATTCACTTAAGTTACAGTTTGTGGCATTTAAAATGTAGCAAGAACATGTTTACGCTGGATCGCTTGCCCACTTCATCTGGCAGTCATCTCTAATCGCCATGATGGCTTCGCGGCAGCAGGACCTTTCGGGGTAAAGGGAGCCTCAATTCCCTGGCTGTCACCTTGCAAGAGGCACCCCTTGGCACCCCAGGCAGAGAGCTCCCTACAAGGGCTCCAGGGGGGCTCGGAATCCTCCGAGACCCCATCTGTCCACTGTGACTTGGGGCGCCCACATCGGAACTCGATGGGACATGTCCAATCCATGAGTTGCCAAAACCGAAAGTCTCATTTTCATATCTTAGCTGTTTCCACTTTGGTATAACACTAGAGGATGAAGACAAATGAGAAAGAGTGCAATGTTATGAAATAATGAAAAGATTGGCATGCCACAAACAATGATGGGGGGAAGGTGTGCTTAAGAACACCCTTTGGGCTCTATTTTACATTGGTGGTGGAGACCTGGACTAGCCCAATCTTGTCAGCTCTTAGAAGCTAAGTGGGATCAGTCCTGGTTAGCACTTAGGTAGGAGACCGTAAAGGAAGTCTAGGGTTGCTATGCAGATGCAGGCTGGAAACCACCTCTGTTTCTCTGTTTTTCTCTTACCTTGAAAACCATACAGAGTTGCCATAAGTCATCTGTGACTTGATGGCTATTTTCATAAACACCACCTTGTGAAAATGTATACTTTAAACATATGATTGCTGGTGAATCAGCATTTCAGCTTCAAAAAGGCCAGCCTGTGTTGATATCATTCAAAAACTGGGAACTCTAGAGGCTGTCTTCAGTGTGTTAAATATGAGGCATTTTTGCTTCTGTCTTAAAATAAACTGAGGTTGCAAACAGGAAGCAAAAAGAGTGGATTCCTCAGCTTAGTGGATATTGCTTGACTATTCATCCATATAGTCAGGCTTGTACCATTTTGTCCGACATCTCCTTTGCTCAGTGTTATTTCATCACTCTTCTGAGTAAATCTCATTTACAGAATTTTGATAGAGGAGGATTTTAAGGGTTGCTGGCTTTGGTTCCGTCCCCCCACCCCATTTTCTATGCATTAGTAGGTTGAGTTTATGCTCCTGAAGCTCAAAGGATCAGGTCCAAGAGATATTTCTGGATTGTGATGTTTCTAAAACCTTAAAAACGTATAGTTGAATGTGCAATATAGCAATGCAAGACAGCATTGAAGGTGCAAATGTCTGGATCCAATCTTTATTTTCTGTGATTAGTCTTCATTACTGCACAAGAGTAAACAGTCTTGCTGACCCGTACAATATTGCATATTGAAGCATTAGTGCTAAATGATGTCAGCAGTATTTCTAAGAAACATTTTTATGAATATTTATTTTTTGCTAGCCTCTATAATTTTTATGCACTTATGAAAATAAATGAAAAGACATAAGAATTACTTAGATTTTGGGAGAAATGCACTGTAGCCGCCTCTTCCTTCTGTTTCTAGTTATGTTGCTTTTCCTCATATAGTCTTATTCAAACATAATGGAGTGGCAGGAAATAGACTCTTTTCTGGGACTGTAACAGCTTGAACTGTCGAATGCTAGTGTTCCATGTATAGTGAACTGTTTATTTTGCCTGTTCATAATGCTTATGACTACACAGCCCAAACTTCTCACAATGTGGTTCAAAATGGGGCTGAATTATCCTGTGTCATATGTTTCCAGGCAAAATTATTCTGATATGGCAGCAGATGGATGACTGCTCACTGCAGATTTCTTTTTCATGAACCAGTTTTTTGGGGGGTACATATACCTCTCCAAATACACAGATTTTCTCATGGATCAATCACATCAGTCTTCCAAATGGGGCCTGGAGTTCTTCCAGACCGATGACAGATCTCCAGACTACAGAGAGTCTGGAGAAAATGGCAGCTTTGGAGGGTGAACTCTATGGTATCACATCTCTGCTGAGATTCCTCCTTTCCTCAGACTCCACCCTCCTCAGGCTCTGCTCACAAATATTCAGGAATTTTCCAAGCCTGAGATGGCCACGTAGTACTGCAACATTGAAGTACAGAATTAAAATACTGTATACCTAGGGTTCCCAAATCCCCCCGGGGGGCGGATTTCCCCCCGCTTTTGAGGCCCGATTTCCACCTCCGCGGAATCGGGCCCGGGGAAACCCCTCCCCTCCCCACGCGCGCCGCCCGGATGTGATGTACAGACGCCGGGCATGCTGGGGGTGGGGCCACAGCCATTTGAGGGGGAAACTCTATGTTTCCCCCCCAAATGGCTGTGACCCCGCCCCCAGCATGCCCGGTGTCTGTATGTCACATCCTGGAAGTGTGCGCGCGCTTTGCGCGCGCGCGCACCGTCCAGACGCTGGGCAGGACCCCCCTGCCGCCAGGTAAGATTCATTTGGCAAGCCTATGTATACCTGTGACCTTTTGTTTAGGTTGAATATATTAAAAGACTGAACAATTAGACAAATAATCTACTAAAATCAATGTGTCAAAATGTATGTTTGTGCAATTCATTTAAGGAGCGACTTCATTAACAGTTGCAAATTATGAAACTTGCCTTTTAAAATTAGATTCCTATTATGAAATATGTGATTTTGAGAATGATTGCTGCTCTATATTGGAAAATGGAAGATTACCTTCTGGGTGGATAAGGAGAAATGGGGTGAGCATCAAAGGACCTCCTCTCTTTGACCACAATAGAAACAGCTCAGGTAAGAACAAATGATTTCCTTACAAGGAATAAACCTACCTTCACAAACTTCCTAGCTACTGGGAAATTCAGAGAACATCCATCTTCCCAGATGTTCTTGTTATGCAGGCTTAATAATTGGGTGAAGTGTTAAGAGGCACTTTAATTAAATGTGAGAGATTCCTGTAGGAGGGTGGTTCTTATAATTTAGAAAGACAAACAACTAAAACAACTGTAGGATTAGTCATACAAATATAAAACATTTCTTCCATCCAAATCCCAGCAAAGAAAAAAATTATCATAATGACATCAGGAAAAATAAGTTTCCATGTATAGAAGTGAGGTTTTGTTCCTCTCCAAGGACCTCTTCTCATAAGCTTTTCATAGATACATACAAAATACAAGTCTATAATAAAATCTTAGCCTTTATCTCTCAGTGGCACAATACGATGACTTTCATTCCAAAAGGTAGACAATAAAATGTATTTCAAAGCTTATATAGTTAATAGAATTGGCATGGAGGCCAAGCTTGCATTCTCATTTTCTGAGAGTTCTAGCTTCTTAGAGAAAACTTAAGTGTTTTCTTCATTAATTGATAGATCTTTAGCCTGTGGCCCTTTCTTGCCCTCCATTAATGACATACTCTTCAATCTTGTACTATGTGCACCCTGAAGAAAAAGGGAGTCTAATAATGCAGAGGGAAGGACTCCAATTTTTTTCTTATAATTAACTTATTCAAATAGGGCTGGATTTAGAGTAGAGTGGCTGCCTATGAGAATATGGGCTTGGGAAGGAGTTTAGCATCAATACTGGGTAAGGATAGACTGCTTGTAGGCTCAGATATCCATTATTCCAGCAAGGAGTGGGTAAACATCCTCTAGATTTATGTCAGAGCAGACCTTCAGTCAGACAGGAAATCAGATGAGAAAGGAGTGACTCACCCAATCAAGTAAATATATTCCTGGGCTTCAAAGTTCAAGGTATGAAGCCACAAAATGCACTGCCTTTGTAGCATAAAAAAAGATGAGTCTGGAAATGGTTTTACCAATAAACCGGACATACACCAGAGCTGGGTTGGTTCCAGATTTTGGGGGATCTGGGCAGAGAGTTCCCAGGGGCACCCTTTCCACCCACTCACTCGTGTGTCTCACTACCTACCTGTGCATCCTTCCCTGCCCTGCTCACAAGCCCTCCCACTGCCTCTGCTCTCAGCCATCCATACTGTCCAAAGCTCTTTCCCTGATGGCACATGGACACATGGGAGCAGGCAGAGAATGGCATGGTGGGTGTGGGTCGGCAACAGTGGGCCTTGCCAGAAGCCTGGGCCCTGGCAGCTGCACCACCCGAGGGTATGCTGATACCAGTCCTGCACAGAGGCCACAGAAGAAGAGCAATCTGAGGGGCCAGCATGCAAGTGTGGCTTGTTATATAAATGAAAACTAAAAGGTGGAACAAGGCAGATGTTATTGGACTCACCAGTTTTCTTGCCACTGCACTACCTTCATGAAGAAAGGGGGGAAATAAGGAGCTTTAACGATTCAGTTTACTGATATAGTCAAAGACCAGCACAAGTCAGGTAAAACTAGTTCAGATGGATTACAGATGAATTACAGGGAATTAGTCCAATATTAAATGTATATAAGATGTATAAAATATATAAATATACAATATGACAGGTAAAAGATAATTAGTGATTATTGTTAAAATCCTGTTACAGTACATAAACTTTCCTGGCGGATTTTGCAGGCAACTGTGAACCTCACACTGGGAGCTGTAATTTGTGGGTTGGCACCTATAGGAAGCATCCTAGGAAACTCCGGGTCGGAACGGCCCGAATACCTTCTGAGCAAAGAAAAAATAATCTTTATGAGAATTTCCTGATAGAACCGGCAGTGAAGCAAAACATGTTCAGACCTTTAATAGTGAAGACCAGGTTTTAATGCCACCCTCTACTAGGTGACATGAGGAAACAACCTTTCCTCCTGTTGTCAGTGATTATATTATTATTAGAAGTTTGGGTGTTGAGGCTAGGCCCTCTGTGGATTAAGACATGCTAAGGCCCTACAGTATGTCAAATTTAATAGGCCTTGTAACATTACAAAAAAAGTAATGCAATTTAATGATTTTAGTGCTTTTTTGTATTCAACAGCCTCTTGTAATCTGAAGCCCTAACTGTAACTTGTACATAAACCCAGTTTTGACTGCATAAACAAGCCCCTCTCCTAAGACCTGGCAGCCTTGTCTCTGTATCACTGCTGGAGTTATGAATACACCTTTTCCTCCTGCAGTCCAGAAAACAAAGGAGTATTTTGGGGTCTGTTTGTTCACAAATAAAATTCATTGCAGCTCATGCCACAGAGCAATTACTTTCTTAAACTTCAAAGGTGTGCTAGATATTGTAGAGGCTGGCCTGGGCCCAGTGTAGGTTAAACAAACAAGATAAAGGTGGTAGGGGCAAAGGGAAAAGAAGACACTAGAGTGTATCAAAGAGCTGTAAGGATTTGGGTTGGAGGAAACACAGTAGAGAAACTCATACAAAAACTGATGAGATGGTGCTTCAGATAAGACTTTGCTGCATTTTGAGTGATTTGAAAGAGTACAAAACAAGCAGAGTGGAAGACAAGAGCAGATCTGTCCTGTCTAAGGGCTGATCCAAGCTTTTCCATCCCAGAGTTTGTAGACAGGGTCTGATAGTCTACACTCTCCACCTGGATTCACTATAATGGATATTATAAGTGTTTATTTATAGTCTGTAAACAGCAGCAGCAGCAGCAATGACAGAGAAAAATCTATGAACAGATCGTAGGCTGTTTCCACACATTGTTGGATATTGCACAATCGTTGCAGCTGTTCTTAATGAGTTGTCTTGCCCACACCAATAAAATGCAGTTGCAAGGGATTGTTGTAGTGCAATAATAGCACAATATCCAATGACATCTGGGATGCAGTCTTTTTAAAATTAATGTTTTAAATATATGAGCACCGCAACCCTAGAGTTGGATTTGGCCGGCTTTCGAGCAAGGGAACCTTTACCTTTACTTACAACAAAAGGAACCTTGTATCTGAACATGGGATGCAGTCTTATGGTAATAGTGCAGTCCTATACTGAGTTATTCAATCTAAATCCATTGACTTCAGTGGGATTAGAGGGACATAAATCTGCAAACTATTAGGGATGTGCACTTGAAAAGAAACCATTTTTAAAATTTGGATTACAGGAAGGGTTTACATACTGATATTCTGTATTATTCAGGTCCCCAATACCACTTGAAATACTATTTTTTCCAGAATTCTAAAAATGTTCAGATCCATTATTCCTTATGGTGGTGGTGGGTCTCTTCCCAGGGGAATATATTGGATTTCCCCCCAAGGAAATTACATCATAAGTGCAGAGAATCTAGTCCTGTCTGTCCACTAGAGACCCCAAGGTTCAAATGAATTGGATTAAGGGGTCTCATTCTACAGGCCCCTGAACAAGGCATCCTAGTACTTGTCGCCATTGTTTCTTATGGGGAAAAAATTACATGCTTTCTCCAGGGCGAAGAAGCCAATAGCCAAACAAGCAGAGGTCATTTCGGGGGGGGGGGGAACGCGGGGGAACGCAGTCCCCCCGGATGAGGTGCAGGGGGGCGGGGCACATGATGAAGCCCCGCCCCTGCTTCCGGCCACCCCGCTTCCAGCCCTCATTCAGCCAGGAGGAGGCAGAAGAAGAGGGAGGGTAAGTTGCTTCCTCCCCGCCTCTCCCCACCCCTGTCTGCCTGGGGCCAGGGAGGGCCTTGGCGGGGCTTCCTCGCACTCCCGCTGGCCTTGCAGGTCCACCGCCGGGCCCCTGATGTCGGGGTGTGTGCCATTTGCTAATGAGTTATGCTAATGAGTTCCCCTAGCTCTTTTTCTACGAAATGACCCCTGCAAACAAGCAAGCAACTACTGGCCTTAAGGAGGCCATAGTTGTACTGTTCTTGAAAAAAAACATAATTGGATCCTTTAGATCCAGGCAATTACCATCCAGTTTCAAACTTATCATTTCTGGGTAAGGTGATTGAGAAAGCAGTAGCTGAGCAGCGCCAGGGTTTCCTGGATGATGCATTGGCATTAGATCCATTCCAGTCTGACTTCCATCCCAGCTATGGAATGGAGACTGTGCTGGTCACCCTGACTGATGATCTCCATAGACAGCTGGATCAAGGCAGGTCAGAACTGCTGTTGTTGCTTGACCTTCTGACTCACCGCCTCACTGATGTAGGAGTCAGTGGGGTGGCCTCCAGAGCAGACTACTGTAACTCACTCTACACTTGCCTACCCTTGACACTGACCTGGAAACTCCAGCTGATCTAGAATGCAGTGGCACAAGTCCTGACAGAAACATCACAGATGGCACATATTCAACCAGTGCTGTGCCAGCTACACTGGTTTCCAGTGGAGTACTGACTCAGGTTCTAGGTCTTGAGTGGTCTGGGACCAATGTATCTGTGGGACCAACTCCTCCGTTATGTCCATGGGAAAGCGCTGCGCTCTTCTGATACCAACTTGCTGGTGATCACTGGCCCTAGGAATGTCCAGCTGTTCTCAACCAGGGCCAGGGCCTTTTCAGTCCTGACCCCAATCTGGTGAAACTCTCTGCCAAATAACACTAGGGCCCTGTGGGACCTAGTGTAATTTTGTAGGGCCTGTAAGGCAGAGATGTTCCGCAAGGTTTTTGGTTGAGGACAGGAATGGTTGGTTGTATTGGCTGGCACCCTTCCCCTTTCCTCCCCCTATATATTTTGTTTTAAGTTCCCCCTCCCCCCTTCCCAATAAATGGCCAGTCAGTTCAGAATTGGATAGCAATCTGCAAGTCCCTGTAAAGGTGTAAGCTGGGATAGGGTGATTAACAAATCAAATAAATAAAAATAAAAAAGACTCCAAATATGAACAGAATCATGTGATGGATGGTTTCAAGTTCTGCCCTCCAGGAGCCTCAGCTAATCACTTTCAACCTTGGATTGGAATGTTAAAAAGAAAAGAAAAGAAAAAGTGGTTTGGAAGTTTAACTGATGGCTGACTGACAAAGTTGAGGGTAGTTGGATGTTGGTGGGAGAAGGATTAAGAAGTCAGCTGATCAGGCAGGGAGTCTACTAGGGACTTCAGGTATTCTGAAGATAGGTAGGGTTTGGGTGTTGTTCCTGTCAAAAACAATTAAATGTTAAAAGCATTTCTGTTCCATGTTACAAGTCTGAGTAAGTCAAACAAAAAAGCCCCTGCTTTGTAACTGTTACACTTTCTCAGGCTCCAGCTCTCTAGTGTAGTGTAGTGGTTAAGTGCGCGGACTCTAATCTGGGAGAACCGGGTTTGATTCCCCACTCCTCCACTTGCACCTGCTGATTTGACCTTGGGTCAGTCACAAGCTCTGGCACAGCTGTCCTTGAAAAAGACCAGTTTGTGTCAGAGTTCTCTCAGCCCCACCCACCTCACAGGGTGTCTGTTGTGGGGAGGGGAAGGGAGAGGAGTTTGTAGGCCACTCTGAGACTCCCTTGGGTAGTGAAGGGTGGGGTACAAATCCAATTTCTTCTTCTTCTTCTTCTTCTTCCTCTTCCTCTTCTTCCTCTTCTTCCTAGAAGGATAGAGGAAAGGAAAACAAAGAAACAACCAAGTTGTGTATACTGTGAGCGGGGGGCCCTGTTCCTTAGTTGTTTTCATCAACCCCATGGTGCGGTTCCTTCAAACCCATAATCCCCTCATAATATGCCAAGTGAATGCTGGGTGGCATGCTGAATCCAAGCATTTTTCTCGTTGAGGACTAGAAGACTAAGCAGTCCCCAAAGCCTTGGTTATAAAGATAAAGCTATTAAAAAGAACAAAAACAAAATAAGTTTGTAGGGTATGAAATCTAAGTCCCTCATTTTTAGGTTGGGAGAAGGGGTGTCATCACAAACCAACAACCTCCAACATAATCAAGAGCAAATCAGAGAATCCAAGCCAAAACAACCAATGTCAAACCAGAGAATCCAAACGAACAAAATTAAACAAGGGACGCTATTACAACCCCAATTAAACCTGTAAAACTGAAGGAAGAACAAGCCTGGAAGACATAAAATGCTGGCCCCAAATATTCCAGAATATTTCTGCAATTTGGGGTGATCCAACTGTCTGCATTCCGAAACTCTAGATATCACTCCAGATACCCAATAAAGTATTTTTCTGTTATAGATTCAGACCAGAAGTATCCAAATGGATATCCCTATATAGGATTGCACTGTTAATTGCTCAGCTTCTTCAAAGACCTCTAAGTTTGTAACAATTGTTTCAATCAAGATCTCTCTGTTTAAAAAATGTGACGCAAGCTGTGCTGTCGATTCTGGGACTCCCAGTTGCCATGATGTCATAGGGTTCAGGAGTAGGTCTGTTTAATTTGGGCTAGTTGCCTCACCCATCATTTCTTTCATTGATTGGTTTCTTTTGGCTTTTCTAGAACATGAATTCTATTATTAATTTTTGTGTGTGGAAATAATCTATCTTCTTCTTATACATAGCCTTTTTCCTGACATTGCCCTCTGAACGGGTCCCATACCCTTCAGTTTTGAGAAGCAGAGTGTTCTCTGTGTCGAGTAACCAACTCACTTGCCAGGTATTTGGATTAATCTTTTTCTCATGTAATTTGTTGCCACCGCAATTTGCCAGTTGTCTTAGACCATTTCTCATTTTTAGATTTTGTTTTACTATTGGATTGGTCAAATAAATGGGACCCTTACAGTAGGACTCCAGACTCTTCCTGATGAGCCTTTAAAGACCATATGGCAGGAGACAGAAGGAATAAAAAACCAATGGCAAAAGGCTGTGATTACATTCAACAGTACTCAGGACCCTGAGGTATGCTGGCTGTTCTGGTGCACTTGATATGAGATAACTGGAATGTCAATTTCTGCTAGAACTTGAACTAGAAGTTAATTTGAGTGAATGAGATGTGGATTTTAATGATAAATTTGTGGCAAGTATTATCTTATTACTTGACCTTATCTCATGAGTTAATTGAATAATTAATTTAGCAATTATGCATGAAAATCAAATTGAAATGAGTTCAATTGTCACATGCTAGTACACATGGTGAGAGGATATATTAATGATCCCCTCTTGCAGTAACCAAGTGTCCAACCATATTTGCTCATCAGCATTTTGTGTGCTGCAGTTATGCTAACCAGTTGTTCTTGTGACTTGCTAAGCCAAATATTAATCAGCTGTGCTCCATATATGCAGTGCTCCAAAATCCCTGGAGGAAGGGCAAAATAGAAAATGAGAATAATAGTATGTCACACTCTACGACATCCCAGGTTGGCGTGTGCAGTGAGAGAACCCAGGGACAGCCCCCAGAGGGAGAACTTTAGTTACCAGGAGGTACCTAAAGGGCAGGCAGGACCAAAGACTGCCATTAGTAGCTTCTTGGGGTTAAAGGCCACCTTAGAAGTAGACATCCCCTTGGGAGTAAAGGCCAAGTCAGCCAGGTAGAGTGTGTGGCAGAAGGAAATGGAATCAAAGGCTAGAGTAGGAGTCAGAGAGAGAGAAACAGCTGGCCAGGCCTGGGTCCATGAATGATATCCTTTCATGGGACATATATCTCTGTGCCTAACCCTATGGCTGGAGACAGCAAGGACTGAATCCTGGGAACAGGTACAAAACTTTGACAGACAGTAGAGGCAGTAAAGGATAGGTGGACCTCCAGGCTGTAATGAGACAGGTGAACATAGGCCTTAGGTATTTCAGGCAAACTGTAATAAACCACAGCTTTACTAGTTCCCCAGGTGTCTGCCAGGAACTGTTATTGGTCTCCTCTCTGGTTTTCAGTGTTAGGTATGTTTGTACATTTTTATTGAATATATATATCTTATTCAAAAGTTGTTAACAATGAAATGTTTTAATGTTTGATGTTTACCAACTTGGGGACCCTGTTTGGGTGGAAAGGTGGCATGGAAATATTTTTAAATACATTTAAAAAAATTAAGTAATGAGGAAATGCCTAGGTGGAGTAGAAGCCCAGGGAGCTTCACGTAGCACTAAATAATAATAATGGCAGGCCACCAGGAGTCTCATAAATATCCTATTTCTGTGGCCTTTGTTATGCCAACTTCTCCAGGAAATTCCTGGAGACCCAATCCAAGTTATCTACCAAGGAAGTTTGGGTGTTTGTGGCTGTGCGTAAGTTCTATACCAGTCTATACAGAGGTCAGATGGCCAATGAGACGCTCGGCTATATCCCAGGAAGTGAGACAACACGCTAGGATTAAGAATAAATGTTGTCTTTACTAAAGGTTTTTCATCAGGCATACAAAATCGGAATCACACAAATTCATACAAGCTCCTTAGTTACAATAGTACATCAGAACAATTACAGCATAGAAAATAACAAAAGCATCAAAATGGGGAAGACACAATGGGGCACGGCTATACTCATCTGAGGTCCAGCTGAGGAAGAACTCCCCTCCTTGGAACGCTGGGCAGCCGAAAGCAGCAGCTTGTGAACTCCAAGGCACACAGGTAGGACCAGCCAAACCACGTGTGAGCTCTCTGGGTCGCGACTCCCGGAGAACTTAAGTAGTAGAGTCACTTGTAGCACCTTAGTGCACTGCTATGGGGAAGGTGGGTTAACCAGAGAGACAAAGGAGAGTTTCTCCTTAAATAAACTCTTTTTGGGGCATGTGCTATCCAGCCATAAACTATCAAACCCGTCCTCTAAACTATCACTACTGGATGAAGAGGGGGTGACGAGGGGATGACGAAGGGGATGACGCTCTCCTAAGGGGTGGTGGCAATATGCAGATCCTACTCCTACATCAAAGGTGCCTTTTGGCAAGGTGTGAATCTTCCGTTCCCATGGACACCTCTTGATTTGCAGATCTGGTTCCTGCTCCAAAGCCATAAACGCTATTGTCTTTAGATCTCCAAACCAGATTAAGGGAGTAGGGTCACTTGCTCTTTCCATTCCAAGAATGCCGGGGTTCGCTGGGGATTTTCCATAGCTCTCCAAGTGGGTGCAATGGCGCGGTGTCTTCTCCATCCCAAAGAGTCATGGGATACATTCCAGGGACGCACATGGTCCGTATGTGCAACGGCAGGCCCAGGCCAGCCTATTTCTAGGCAAGCATGAGATGCAGAACAAAGCAACACACAACATACAGCAATCCCTGAATACATATTGCATAGGTATTCATGCTAGAGACACACATAAGCAGCATCACCACTATACAGAAATACAAACATAAGTTCATATAGTTACACCTTTCAGGGACTGAAGAAATAGGAAGGTGTTGTGCACCTGCTCAGCTTCAGTGCATAGCTGGTGGGCTGGCCATCAGTTTGCATGGGTATATGGAGTCTAAGGAGATTCACCCAGCAATATTCCTATTAATGTATAAAAATGTATAAATAAATAGTTTTCATTATAATACATGAATACATGTATTCAGCACAACAGCCAAAGGAAAGAATACACGTATTCAGACAAACCAAATTTGTCTCCACCTTTTTGAGTGTTCCCTGGTTAGTTCCAACTTTTGTTCCTTCTACTTCATACTTTTAATGGGAGTTGCCAGGGACTGAACCTGGGACCTCCTGTGTACAAAGCACGGCCCCTGCTCTGCTACCACTGTGTACAGCAGAGTATTGGCAGGCTTATGAAAGCTATTCAGCTTCTTTTCGTGTATGATTTATCTATATGTGCTTTTAGAAAGAATGGATCTATGTGGCATCAGTTGCTATACTGGAATGAGCCTGTGCTTTATTATTATTATTATTATTATCATCATCATCATCATCTCCCCCCCCCCAAAGCAGGCTCAGGATGGCTTACAGAAGGATAAAACATAAGTAAACAATTATAACATAGATAAAACCATCCAAAAACAATCCAATGTCATAAAGTGCTAGCTAGATGTAAAAACAAGATATTAAAAAGCCCAAAGCAACCAAAGTAAATGCAAGATAAATAGTGCGCTGTGTGCAAGGATATTACTATCAATCTTTTAAAAAAGTTATTATTGTACTGTGTGCAAGAATATTATTACCAATGTTTATTTAGTTATTGTTACTATTATTATTGAAATGTCATTTAGCATTATGTACAATAATTAGTCTTAACTTTGTTTCTGCATATCACGTATATTATGTATTTTTGGAAGAGCATATGAAAGCCACGTTCTTGGCATCAGAATGTTATTAAGGGAAATCTGTGCTCATATTTTCCCTCTCTAATTCTGTGTGTCCAAACAAACCACATTAAATGAAAAATGCAAAGAGAGAAGAGAGTATATATCTTACTCCAAAATTACAATGCTTATTTAATCAGAGTGTATGTTGAGGCATCAGAAAGGAAAGAGATATTAGTTTCCTTCTCAGATTATAAAAGGGCATAGCAAAGGGGTTAGTGAAATTTTATTTCAGGCTTCACTGGTATTTGGTAATCAGTCACTGCCCAAAGCTTCTTTAAGGTAGATTTTTCAGAAATTGTGGAAACTTAAAAGTGATTACTTTCCTTGTTTTGAGGCGGGGTTTCTTTAAAAAGCAGCTCTTTCTGGTTAGTCATATAGATAGGTTTTTGGGCAACTGTGTCCCTTCAGGTTAATGCTTTTGATGGTGGTAATAAAAGGATACAGGATTCATCTGGCATTGGTTGGAAGGTAAAGCAGAGCAGAGAGGAAGCTAGAGCTTCCACAAACCCCTATGATGAAATTCCTCAAAGTTAAATTTATAATAGTAGATAGAAGTCCAACATTGCAACAACTAGGAACAGTAATATCTTCAAAACATTCTGCTGAATATTCTACAGGTTATCATTCAAGGACAAATATTTGAACCTTGGACTCCAGGTGAAACCATCGCTATTGATGATCTATCAGTCACTGGAGAGTGTTTTCTAACAAAAGGTAAGAATTAATTGTTTTAGCAATGCTGAATTATTCTTTCACAGTTAATTAGAAATGGGAAAAAACAATGGAGGTATGGCTTGGAGACATTCTAGGGACACAAACAAATTACAGGGGTCTTAGTACCTCTTTTAAATGTACTTGTAGTTTGTATCAAGCTATTTGGGTGCAACAGATGCTACTTGGAGAGGGAATGGTTGAATAGTGGGAGTGTCATTCAAATATGGTGTATACAACTTGAATGACTGAACAGGACTCAAGTTTTGAGGTTAACAAAGGACAGCACAAGTTACAGGGTCTGAATATCTCTTAGTTCACATGTGTGCATACAGCCAAGCCACAGCTTACTGTTTCTGCTCAGAATACCATGTGTCCTGCTTTTCCTGGAATGGATTAGCCTGCAGCTACTCAGGATTTCCTGGAATCCTCTTTACAGTCCACTAAACTACAACAATGAGCTTGGACATCCTATCCTACAAGAAAACCTTTTGTTGCATGCTTTTTCAGCACTAGGACATGCCCAGTCTATCTTTCAGTCATCTGGACTTATTGGCAACTACTTGAGTGGCCAGATAGGAAGTAAAATCCACAAAATTACTGTACGTTCAAGGCCTAGGAGTCACAGAATTCAAAGCTGTCCTAAAACTGTCTCATGAATTAAGTCCTTCGGTTTATTTTACGGTGTGATTTGTGTTATATTCTGGAATGCAGTAAATTTAGCTTCTGCAAACAATTGTGGGCCCATAGGACTCCAAAAGAAGACTGCCTCCTGAGATGGAAACAAAAATAACCTCTGCAGTACATTATGCAGTTTCTTCAATATTTTAGGAGGCTAAGCAATGTGGTTGCATCATAGAGCCAACATTCAAATCTTTAATACCCTAGGAATTTAGCAGTAGGATGATGTTTGTTTCACATGGCAGCTTTACAGAAAGAAAGGAGCTATACCTATGAAGCATGTAAGCAGCTCTTTATTTGTGCTGTGGTGTTTTGGGGATTTGTAGAATCGACAGCAACATCCAGTGGTCACTCAGAAGCCTTGCTGGGCAAAAGCCACATCTGGCCCCACCCACTTTCTAAAAACCCTTGGTGGGCACCAGAAAAGGTGTCAATGGGCTTCATGGCACCCACGAGTACCATGTTGGGGACCCCTGCTCTAGGCTCAGAGCATGTCCATCAATCCAAGCAGCCCATCTCTGTGGTGAGGACATTACCTACCTCAGTCTTTGCTTGTAATCTGAACTCTTCCTCTGGACTCTGCTTGGTATCTGGAGCTGACAGTTGCCTGTATTCATTTTGCCTCCGGCCCTGACCCTGGTTGTCAGAGAATTTTCTGCACCACAGTTTGAGTGAATGCTACTGGCTTCTTCTTCTTCTTTGGTGATGAATGGCTATTCTTTTTTTCATTTTATGTACAAATTCATTAGTAGCTTTATAATTTGCTACTGGCTTCTAATCAATGCCCTAGTGCAGTTGCTGCATAGTAATTCTAATTTCCTGCCCTTCCTTGCAAATTTGCATGGTTTTCTCTTTGTGATTCTCTAATTTGCTCCTGCACGCTGGTCGTGATTTTAGCAGTTTTTTAAAAGCCTGTCCTATGTGGATTGCAGTCTTCCTCCAAATGGATCAATCCTGAGCGATTCTGAGGTTTGGCAGTTCAGAGAAGGTCCATGTGGCTCAGCTGCCATTTTAATGTTAGGCTTTCAGAGACTGCCAAAATGGTCCCCCCCCAAAAAAAAAACCTTTGTTCACTAAAGCATTAAAGGAAAAATGTTTTCAAAGCTTTAAGCTTCCCATCCCAGTATCTCTCTCTCTTTACATCTCATGTCAATTTTATTCCGCGCTGATGATCCACCTTTATTTTGCTTGCATGTGGCACTGAAATCCTTTTTTTTTTTTTGCACTGTGGACACTGCTGTTTGCCTCCTCTCCAACCCCCCTTTCAAGTCACTACCAGCAGGGAACTAAAACTCACACAGCTCCTTTAACCCCCCCCCATTTTTAATTTTGTTAAATTCAGACATTTGAGACTAGTGATAGTCTCATTTTGCTAGACTCATGCTGCTTGTAAAAAAATTTTTTTTAAATTAAATGAAGGGGAAATGGAGTTTGTACTCCGATGAAGGGGGGAGGATGGCAGAAGGCGCAGAGTGGGTGGAACAGTCTCAATGAGGGAAGGAGTGACCTTTGGATGACAAAAGGGCTGAGGGGAAATCTGAGAGAATCTGTATGCTTTTGAATACCTTCAGCTTGGAAGCGAACCAAGGGGAAAATTGGCACAAAAGCACTCTCAGAAAACCCGGGGAAACAGCAACCAGAAAGCAAACTGAGTGCTGAATGGAGGAAAATCAATGCAGAATGACAAAGAAAACCCAATGGACATGTGCAGGGAAAGTGAGGGGAAACACCCATGCATAATAGACTTTTCTCTGATCTCAGCAGTCTAGCACTATATTTTTGGAAAGGGGAATCCAAATTTTCCAGCTTTTCTCAGTTCCCCACTTATAAGAGTATCCCAAAGGATTCACACAAACTGTTCAGTTGTCCTGTTTCTCCAGCTATATCACTGTAAGTGACTGGATCCATGCTCCTCAAGAACAGGGCTTCTTTGGGTTTTGCTCTGACAACTGCAGTTTCTGAAACACACTTGACATTGGCAGCTTAATACAGGTGCTTTGGCACACAGTGTATTGCACCTGTTCTGAAAGACACATTTGGATGTTATGAGGTTACATCTCTTTAAAATGTTGGTGAAGCAGTCTGATTTTTGTCTCTCTAAAAATTCATGGTTCTGCTACTGATACAGCACTAATATATTTTGTACTTGGGTATCTCTGAGTACAAAATGTCAAGTGTGAAACAGCTCTTGACAACTGAGCTTCAGACTGTTAGCTGCTGGGATGAATAGCTGCAATTGCTAGGGTGAGTGGATGTATCAGAGGGCAAGAACCCTGGATCTTTAATGGATGTTCAGAAGAAGGCCCTTGGGCAGTGTGCAGGTATGTAATTTCATCGCATTGCTGGGGTGAGCTGCATCTATAGTCACCCATCCTATTAATAATACTCTTTTTGGGAAAGATATTGGCTTATATCCAGCTGAATGTTTTCATGATTTCCACTTGTGGAGTGCAACTTTCTCACTTCACATTTTGGTAAGCAATGGGGGTGTGCGTGACAAATATTTGGCTCAATCCAAGCCATTATCTTGTTGCAAACTCAAGGTTTTTGCAGGAGAAGAGATTGATTATAGAAAGAAAGTGAATGGAAAGTAAGGAAGTGCTGATACAGATATTTTAAATTCCCATAGAATGAAACATAATTTGAGTTTTACAGAAAAGCTCTGTTTTGAAACAGATCAATAATCTCCCCTTCCTTTCTTGCTGCTCCAGGCTATCTTGAAAATTTAACCATCTGGTTCCTGATATTTTTTTAAAAGGCTGTATCTGAATGAATCCCATCACAATCCATTTTATTAACCTTGGATAAAACTGAATGAATTTTGCTATACAATTCTCCTAAAAATTCTCCTTTTAGAATTTTGATATGAAACATTATCTTACCATTGGGAGGTATTTAATGTTGTTCATTTTATCTGGCATTATTTGATAGATAACTTGCAGTGGTATGTAGTAGGATTTAGTTGCAGATGTGTTTCACAATCAATATATCAAATGTATTTAATATTTTACAATCAGTATGTCTAATTCTGAACTTGACCCCATCTGTGAATATTTACATCTGGAGATTAGGCCCATATAGAGACAAGACAGATCTTTCTACAAACGGGGGGGGGGTGGGGTGGGGTGGTAATTTGCAGAAAAATCTGAAATAAAAAAAAAACCCTACATGGGGGTTTTTAAGTTCATCAAACCTGCATTGGGCAGGGGGTTGGACTAGATGGTCCATATGCCCCCTTCCAACTCTATGATTCTATGAGAAACAAATGCCTTCTGTGACTGTTGCTAGTCAACCACAACAGTATTGCCAGCATTCAAGCCTTGGTTTCAGTCAATGAAAGGCAGGAGAGGAAACAGGGCCAATTCCAGGGATTTTTTGGTCTTAGATTCATTGGATCCATGTTCATCAGCAACCCCCAGGTGACTTACTACTACTGGACTTGCAATATTCGCAGGTCCAGGTGCTTGCTACTGTTCAACAACAGCCACCCAATGAAAACCAGTGTAGTATAGCTGTTAGAGTTTCAGTCTAGGATCTGAAATGCCCATGTTTCAATCCTCAATGCCACAGAAGCTCACTGGGTGACCTTGAGCCAATCACACTTTTTCAGCCTAACCTCGCTCACAGGGTTGTTATGAGAATAAAATGGAGGAGAGGAAAGTGATGTAATGTACTTTGGGTCCCTATTGTGAAGAAAGGTAGGGGATACAAAAAGTAAATAAATGTAGTTGAAGGAGGTGGGTAAAATGTCGGTTGATGGCTAGGAAGGTGAAAAGGGAAAAGAGAAAGTTAAGGACATTGGGCTACCAGGAGGAGGGAAAGAGGAAATAATGTGGGGAGGGGGATACAGGAGAAAATGAGGTCCCCCACAAGTTATTACTGGTTCCCCATGGTGCAACTGCTTCCAGCCTAGCAGCCAGAACTGTTCAGAGTTTTCACTGGGAGAGGCTACCAGGGGAAGGAAGGAAAGCTAAAAACATGGTGATAGATAAAGGTAGGTTGGCTGGTAGATGGAAAGAAGAGAAAAGGAAGCAAGAAAAGTGGGGAGGTTATTGAGGATTTCAAGGTAATGAGCATGGGGGAAGAGAAAATATGATACCCCCTGCACATCCTTGAGGTCTCCTGCTTGTATTTTATAATTGACCTACAATAATATCTAGAATTTCATGCAAGTGTAAGCATTTGACCATGTGTGTCATATTTTACACTTGAAGACTTGAAAACATTGGACACATAGCCCACAAGCCTAAACAGATGGTTTTCTAGGTAAAATTTCAAATTATCAGTGAGGATTTGAACTGGAAATTTCATATTTAAAACTT